CAGAAAATTAAATTGCTTCCCAGCTTCCACACAGAGCTCATTCTCAGGATTCCTTATTAGTGTCACTACCACGTTCACACAACCCTTGGCCGGAACACCAAAAGCTCAGTGGGTTAAGTCCATTTTGTCCCCATGAAGCCAAGTAGAAACTTTCAGCAAAAAAAATGTCATGAACACATACCTCCTCAAAGGTATTATCCAACTTTTTTGGGTGGATTTCGAAAACATTTATTTACTTTTATTTGGAAGGTAGATTTTACAGAGAGAGAGAAAAAAAGATCTTCCATCTGTTGGTTCCCTCCTCAGATGGCCACACCTGGGCCAGCCCAAAGCCAGTGTGCTACCCCTGCTAATGTGCCTGGGTGAGCAGTGGAAAATGGCCCAAGCATCACTGTACCCATGTGGGAGAATAGGAAGAAGCTCCTGGTTTTTCAGCTAGTCCAGTGCCAGGGAATGAATCAGTGAATGGAAAACCTCTTTCTCTTTCTCCCTGTAACACTGCCTTTCAAACAAATAAATATCAAAAATAAAAAAACACATAACTTTATTAATTACCACAACGCACACTTTTAAAAACAATATGGGGCAGGTAAAAAGCATAGATGTAAACTTGCAGGGCAAAATATCTGTAAGAAATTCCCTATTAAATGGTTTTGAAAGCATACTTTTGGAATATAGCTAATGGAAGAGTCAGGTCTTTGGTACTTACTGCACAGAATTCTTCAAAGGATATTCTTCCATCACCATCCTTATCTGCATTTATTATGGTTTTGTCTACGATTTGCTGTAACTGTGTGTCTTTCAGATTGTTCCCTACCATCATTTTCAACACCTGGAAGAGTTCCCCATTGGAAATATAGCCATCTTTATCCATGTCATAGATACGGAAAGCAACTGCAAAGAGGAAGGAAAATGAATGGCAATTATGAGACAATCACAAGTGAATACTTTTGAGAAAAAATGAGAGTAAATTGCCAAATATCTAGAAGTAGGACTAAGGAAATGGTGCTTTTCTAAATACAGAAGCAGCAAAGAGCAACAATGATTTACTACTCAAATTCAAATATTCTGTATTCTCACAAATATTCTCTCCGGAAGATAAAATTTCTGTTATTTCTAAGGATCTGGACTTGGAGATCTTTCAGATTTTAAAAGCAGTTTACAATGCAGTATGTAATGGCAGTGGTTCAAGACTGAAAACAAAGCCAATGGAAAAAAAATACTTACACCTCAATTTCTGCTCCTTATCTCCTTTGACACTGAACTGAGAGACTCCCTCAATGAATTCTGAATAACAAGAGTGAAAATTAGAATTTTTCAATTTTTTACATAGGCAAATAATATTCATCTTAAATATCAACAAAAAGGATATTTCCCTGCTTTAAAACAAATTATTAGCAGCATTTAAAACTGAAAACGCCAAATTTGAAAGCACAAAGTTCTTTTTTATTTGAACTTGGAATGCTAATAAAATTTGGATCAAATTTGAACACATATGCATAAAATATCACAAAGCATAACACTCAAAAATACACTCAAACTTTTACATCTTACAATAAGACTGGAAAAGGGGCTTAAAAAGATTAAGGGTGGGGGAGGATGTAGCAGCTATCAGAGTCTGATTACAACCTGGTTCCCTGATGTACTTGGTAAGTAACAATGAGAGCAAGCACTGAATTCCTTCCACCGCTGTGCAAAGCCTGCACGGAGTTCTGGCTCCTGGCTTCTGCCTGGTGCAGCCACAGCTGCGGCAGCCACAGTGAGCCAGTAGAGGGAAGAATGAACTCCTGTTCTTTCTCTCTCACCATCACTTTTACTTTCAAATAAGTAATTTTCCCCAAATTAACATAACAAAATGTGTCAATTCCCTACTGAAACGCTTGTTTACTTCTAAGTATAGAACTAAACATAAATTATGCATCATTCTAATCTTAAATCACCATTACCTACATAGAACCTTAAAATAATTAAATCCCATTCTAAGATCAAATTCACATCCTAATTACTAGTTATTTTTTAATGATGATCTAGTATGGGTCTAATTTATTAAACTTATTCTTTACAATCAGTTTCTAATATTGTAAAATGGTACACACTCAGATTAACTTTCAAAAACAAAAGAAATATTAATCCCATCATGTGGGTTACCATAAAGGACAACTGATCATTTATCAATCAAAAAATATTTCAACAAGATGCATATAACCAAAATCATGAGGTTTAAACATAATCCATAAGACATTAAGCATATATTAAAAACTAACATTTTTCCAATTTTATACATCGAGCCAGAACATACGTTTAGAAAGCATTACTTTCTTACCTTTAAAGTCTACTTCACCATTCCCATCTGTGTCGAATATATCTATTACTCGCTGCACTAAAGGGTTCTGTTGTAATTCAGGCAGAGACATGAACTCTTCCACGCTCAAAGAACCAGAATTGTCCAAATCAAGCTTCTTAAATCTCTTTCCTAGCCTTTTGATTTCATCAGCATCAACTAAAAGAAAACAAAATCAGCAAGATTTAAGAATAATTTTATGATGGTCTTAGAAAAAAAATCCAATGTCCAATATTATAATTGCTAATTAAGCCAAATATTGTTAATCTCCTCTAAAGGAGAAAACACATGATAAATATTTCTACTTATTTACCTTTCTGCTTGTATGTACCTGCCATAATGTATAGACAAGTGCTGAGATGATCTAGGACAATGTTAAGCTGATTGTGGAGGTCACACCAGATATTTTGGTACTGCTGATGCTAAGCTGATCAGAGGTGCTATTGCACAGGCTAAATCAATCTCTGTTCTCTACCTAAGCACTTTTCTTTTTCTTTTTGAAATTTAATTCACTTTACCTTTAACAGTTCATAAATTAGGGCATATCTTAACCAGTCCCCCTCGTTTCACTCCTAGACATCCCATTACCTTTTCTGAATACAATATTGCCAGGTTCGTGAATGTTTATTTTCTTCTAAAGTATACCATTTTTAGTCCTTCAAAGTAACAGACTAATTCATATAAATAATTTTGAATATGGATTAACAAAATTAACTTAATCCAAAAATTAAAACATTGCCAAAGAAAGTTAAATTAGGTAAATGACATCTGTTTTGTCATTTACCCACATTAACAGAGATGAGATAATAATTTGTTAACACCTTCATATGAAGATACTTCAAAAGGTTCATACAAAAGTAAAAGCTAAAGCTTATACTAGGTGCACAAAAATTACGAAACTCATGCAGTTTTATAGCATATATTTTCCATGAATGAATGCACACAAATTTCATTTTAAAATAAGGTTTGAATACTGTAGGTGATTTATGAATAGCTGTACATGAATATTCTGACAGCAGCAGCCCGCTGTGGCCATGGGCAGCCGGCAGGTGAGGCTCAGCCACTGCTCAGCCCGCCAGGAGCACTAACCTGGGCAAGGACAAAAACTCCAGTGTTTACTGATTGCGTTTCATTTTTTATAGCATAGTAACATTGGAAACTTAAGTCAAATCACAGTAAGCTAAGAAGTGATCAGTAAAGTCTTAATGGATGAAGTTTAGAAAAATATATTTTAAAAGTGCCTTCTTGAGAAAACAACAGCAAGTTTAGTGCATTCAAGAACCAAGAGGCTTTCAAACAATAGCTGATGAAAATAAATGTACAGTGGCTCTTCAATTTTTATAAAATAGGTTTCTTTTTTTTTTTTTTAAAGATTTATTTTTATTATTTTGTTATTGGAAAGGCGGATGTACAGAGAGGAGAGACAGAGAGGAAGATCTTCCGTCCGATGATTCACTCCCCAAGTGAGCGCAACGGCCGATACTATGCCGATCCGAAGCCAGGAGCCTCTTCCGGGTCTCCCACGCGGGTGCAGGTTCCCAAAGCTTTGGGCCGTCCTCGACTGCTTTCCCAGGCCACAGGCAGGGAGCTGGAAGGGAAGCGGGGCTGCCGGGATTAGAACCGGCGCCCATATGGGATCCCGGGCGTGCAAGGCAAGGACCTTTAACCACTTGCGCCACCGCGCAGGGCCCTAAAATAGGTTTCTAATGAAACAAATGAACTAAAGAAACCATACCTCAAATTAGGAAGTACACTTCTCAATATAAAGCTCAAAAGTGATGGGCCATGGTACTTAAAACAGATCAGAATTAACTTAATTTTTAAGATTATATGCTTTGGTCCTATAATTTGAGCAGTCTTCCCTATTCATATTTTCCCCAGATTTGTGAATCTGCATCAGTAAGGTTGAGGCTACTGAGAGGCAAAGAGACAGACTACTGCCAACTGGCTCATTCTCCAAATGCCAGCATGCACAGGAATGGACTACAGTGGGAGCCACTACTGTAACTAGGTCTCCCAAATAGACAGCGCTCACCTGTAGCCACAGTCAGGATTTGAACCCAGGATCTCCAATGAGGGATGCAGGCATCCTAACTGGCAACTTCACAGGTAAGCCAAACACCCATCCTGGCCTTTGAGGACTTTCGAACATACAGTGATCAGAAACATCTTTACAGTGCTTTAATGAAGGCAAAACACAGAGGCCTCAATAATTTAATCAGAAATTCAAACATACACTTCATGAACACAATGGCTCTGAAAAATTTTCATCCCTCTATCTAAAAGTCATTCTTTAATGGGATAAAAGCAAAGTGTTATAATAAGTCTAATTTTTTCCATTTTCCATAATGGAATTAGATGTCCTTACTCTTGAGATAAGGGTGAGAGAGTTAATCTTCTTATTTACATGTCACTTGTTATCTCAGAGGCCACAATCTTTTTTTCTTTTTAAAGATTTATTTCTTGGGTCCTGCGGCGTGGCCTAGCAGCTAAAGTCCTCGCCTCGAACGCCGCGGGACCCCAAATGGGGGCCAGTTTTAATCCCAGCAGCTCCACTTCCCATCCAGCTCCCTGCTTGTGGCCTGGGAAAGCAGTCAAGCACGGCCCAAAGCTTTGGGACCCTGCACCCATGTGGGATACCGAGAGGAGGTTCCTGGATCCTAGCTTCGGATCGGCATAGCATCAGCCGTTGCGCTCACTTGGGGAGTGAATCATCGGACGGAAGATCTTACTCTCTGTCTCTCCTCCTCTCTGTATATCTGACTTTTCCAATAAAAAAAAAAAGATTCGTTTCTTTTCATGGAAAAGAAATAAAATCAGATGCACAGAAAGGAGAGACAGAAAGATCCTCTGTGCACTAAAGCCAGGAGGCTCCTCGCGGTACAGGATCCTAAGTCTCCAGGCCGTCCTCCAATGCTCTCCCTTTGCTACTTTACAGCCACAAGCAGGGAGCTGGATGGGATACAAACTGGTGTATGTATATGTGTATGTATGTGTGTGTATATATATGTAGATATGATCGCAGAGCTCGCGAGGGGAGGATTAGTCAATTCAGTCCTCTTTGCTGGCCCCACAGTTATTTTCACAGGTATATAATGGTGAATTGCTTTCTTTTTGCAATCTGTAGTTTTGTCTCAGTAACTCAAAACTGCTGGGGAAGTTTAACATAGTATCATCAAAGCAGATTACAAGTGGGAAAGGAAAGAATGCCTCCCCACACAGAATGAGGATGGATGTGTCAGGATCATTTCCTCTACAATGTATGGGTCATAATGCAGCACCTCCATATATAAGGAAATCATTTATTAGATTCTGCTTACTGAGGCTGGGACATGAACAGTAGTTTAAAAACCTGTTTGTTAAGAGGTTAAAATTGAAGTACCTGAAGAATCATGTTTCAGTTCAGAAAAATGGCATTCCATAGTCTTCATGAATGAAAAATGTGAAATTTCGGGGGGGAATATCATAGAGGAATCTTATTAAGTCTAGCAGCTAAAGTCCTCAGCTTGAACACACCAGGACCCCATATGGGTACTGGTTCTAATCCCGGTGGCTTCACTTCCTGTCCAGTTCCCTGCTGCTGATACCTGAACAGGTAATATTTTACTCAAAGGCACATGCCTGTATCTTGTAGAGTGTTTGCCATATTTTCCTCTAATAATTTGATGGTTCCTGGTTAGGCTTGAGTCCTTGATCCATTTAGAGCTCCTTTTTGTGTAAGGCAAAAGGTGGGGTCTTGTCCCTTTCTTCCGCCAAGCGGATATTCAATTGTCCCAACAGTATTTGTTGGAGACCAACTATTTCGTTCTCTCTTATGATTTACTTCTATTTCAATTGGAAACGCAGAATTACAGAGAATGAGAGACACAGAGAGAAAGATCTGTGATCTGAAAGATCTTCAAGCTTCACCTCTTTAATGACTACAATAGCCAGAACTGAATTGATCTGAAACCAGGAGTCAGGAACCTTTTACAGGTCTTCCATATGGATAGAGGGTCCCCAAGGCTTTTGGATATCCTCTACTGCCTCCCAAGCCTCTAGCAGGGAGCTGGATGGGAAGTGGAGCAGCCAGGACACAATCCAGGACCCAAATGGGATGCTGATGCTTGTATGTGGGAGATTAGTCAACTGAGCCACTGTGCCAACTCTAAGACCAATCTTCCCTGGATTATTTTCAATTCTCTTGTCTAAGATTAGTTAGCTCTGTATGTGTGGGCTCACATCTGGGATTTCTATTGATCTTTGGTTTATGAAGCAGTACCAGACTGTTCTATCACTTGTGTGTATGTCTTAAGACTTGGAATTGTGATTCCACCAGCCTAATTTCTATTCTACAGGGTAGCTTTGGCTATTTATGATCTCTTGTGTTTTCTGATAACTTTTTTATCTTTTTCAACTCTGAGTGGGATGTTGTTCAGATTCTGATTCGGATTGCACTGAATCTGTGTATTACTTTCATTAACCTGGACCTTTTGATGATGTTCATTCTACTGATCCAGGAACATGGTAACTTTCTCCATTTTTTCATGTCTTCTGTTTATGATTAGGTTTATTTTCCAGTCAAAGCCAAAAAACAAAAAAAAGGGTGTGTGTGTGGGGGGACTACATCAAACTAAGAAACTTCTGTACAAACACAACCCAACAATAGTGGACTAAATCCAGGATTTACAAACAGCTTCAGAAAGTCAACAGCAACACAAAAAAAACCTGCTAAGAAATTGCAGGAAGACAGAAGCAGGCATTTTTCTTTTTCTGTTTTTTTATGTTATTATTTTAGACGATGTTTGCATAGCTGATCAGGGTGGGAAGGATCTAGGGTTAGGGAGGAGAGGTGTGATCATTGTTTCCAATTTTTGTGCTCGCTTGGGCAGCACATATACTGACACTGTTTCCAAACTTTCTATTTCTTCTTCCCATTTCTGGGTGGGAGGGGGAAGACAGGAGGATAGACCATATCCAACCTTCCAACCATCCTAGTACCCAAGCCTGGGGAAAGGCCACCTGATATCAACCCAGAGGCACAGTGGCACATGCTCCAAAGGTTCTGCCCAGATTGATGCACTAGTTCCAAAATTGTGTTAATCTCACCAATCTTGGATGAGGAAGCCCTTCCAATGTCCATTGGCTGACGCAGCTGACCTTAAGAGTCTCCATTCACC